AAATACCGTTATACGTTTGAAGAGAAATTCTTTTTGAAATTTTAAAGAAATGGGGTGGGGATAATTTTAAAATTCGGGTTAAAAACAATTAGCCCTCTTAAGAAGAACAATCTGTTTTTTCATTTCAGGTTGGCCCAGTTTTTTAGGTTTTAAAACACGCAGTCTTGAATTTATAAGATTTCTTAATTTTGTTGAAGCGTGGACCGTTTTTTTTCCTTCTTAAGAATGCCTTATTTTTGGTTTGGAAAAAAAAGGTTTACCTTGCATATTTTAAACACAAAATTTTCCAAAAGGCGGAGAATTCTAGAGTTTATTCAAACCTTGAAAACCCAATTCAAACAAGAATTTTTTTCCACCGGCAGAGGATGTATGAAATTTTGAATTCAAGAAAATCCAAATTTTACAAGTGAAGCTAGAGAAGCAGCATGGAAAAATCTTCTAAGGAACCCAATGTATTTCCCAGAAAGATCCGATCCAATTGGGTTGAGTTTGGCTTCTTGCAGTTTGACAACTAGGAAGGAAACTACTGAAGATGCTATTGCCGATTTAAATGATGAAGCTTTGACTATTAAATCGATTCTCACTCACCAAAAGCAACTTAATGAAGATCTATCAAATATAATTGAATTGATGCAACAAAGGCTGGGAAATAAGGATGAAGAATTCATCGAACATATAGCATTGACTCCAAGGGAACAAAATAAAAAACTACGACAGGAATTACAAATTTTTGTAAACGATACATTGGCGTTAGATTTAATGGATAGTAATGAAGTTTCCTTAGATACAATCAAACTTCAATCCAAAGATATAATTAATAGATTGATTGAGTATGATGACACACTAGAGGTGGAACATTTTCAACCCTATTGTAAAAGGTTATATAGATTACTTGTAAAGAGTTGTGTTGTAAACCTAAGAAAAGATCTTGAAGGAAGGGACATCATAAAATTGCTTGATTTTGATGATGATAAACTTTAGATTTGTTATAAATATATATATTATTTTTTTATTAATAGAGTATATTATATTATTAACACTTAAACGTTATAGTATAATCAGTCTTCTTATTCTTCATCATCACTCAATTGGATTTCTGGGATTTCGAATTCAGAATCATCCGAGCTTTCATCATTATCATGATTAGCTTCAATTGTAATAACTTCTTTTGTATCTGGAAGTGGGTAATTCTCGGTAGGTAGTGGTGTAGCGGTGGCAGCAATTGATTCCTTTTGGTTAACTGATTTGGATACAATCTCCTCTGAATTACTAATTTTTGCTTTTTTTATTTCAACGTCTTCATCCTTTTTGAACAACTTGGTCTCATCGACCTCTCTTTCAGTAAAGGTTCTTTTACTATTTTCTAGTTGTAGTTTTTTGAAATCATCTTGTTTGTCGACTTTTGTTTCACCAACAGTTTCAAAATCAAGTATTTTGCTTCTTGATTCTTCTAGTTGTGATATTTCATTGTCCTCGATATCACTCTCTTTAAACGGCCTCGTAATTTGGTGAACAATACCCATTGGGACCCTTGGATGGCACAACACATCCAAAACGTCGTCACCAGAATCCTTCAATAAGGTGGCTGCAATTGGTAAAATGGAAATACGTTCATTGCCTGGATAAATTGTAATCATTCTCAATAGCTTTACAAAGTTCTCAGGAATCTTGTTATATTCTTCCTTATACTTAATTGAAGAAGTAATTGCAAATTTAACTATCTTAACCTGTTGAGCAGATGGTAACCTCCAATTGCTCAAAACGGTACATAAGAAATTAGCAACTTCACTTAACAATTTTAAAGAATCTCTAATAATAAATTGATTTGAATGGGTATATAAATCAGACAACGCACCGGATTGATTATCTCTGGTTTTTGATTTTTTGACTCCTTTATTATTATTCTCTGTTTTTAGTTTCTTTTCAGGATTAAATAATGGCAACAATAATGATCTATCTTCAACCAAATATAATGAAATATTGATCAATTTTGTGAATAGCGATAATTCACTTAGTTGGTGGCCCAATTCGGGTGTCAGTCTATTAATCAACTTAAATAAAAACAAAAATTCTCGTTTTAAAGTTTGACATTTTTCAAAATCAATTTCGTTGCTCTTAGGTCTCATTGGAATAAATAATTCCAATGATCCCAAAATTGAAGGTAAGAAAGTTAAACAACTTTTACCATAATTTGAAAGTGTTTTATTCCACAATTTTATCCCTGTGAACTGAATATGAGGTAACATTGAAGTTATCACTGATGTTAATTCAGCATCACGACGTAGATCTCTTTTGATTGGTAGATAATTTTGAGTTAAACTTAATAATGTTTCAGCGACAGCATTAATACTACCCAGTGGGATTCTGACAGGATATGGTGTTGGCAAAGAAATAAATGAACTTAACAAATCAACTAGAATATTCAAACGGTTATTAATATCCCACAAAGTTATAGGGCTATTCATATCTAATTTTAAGGATGGTAATTTTAACAATTCATTGGCTTTCTTATCAACATCGATGTCTCCAGGCAAACTATTCATTAACTTGACTAATTCTTTGTCTTGATCTAAATCTAATATTTCACCGACAAGTTTCAATATAGGTTTGAAATGATTTAAGATATCTAAAAGACCTGCACGCCATGCTTCATCTTGGAATGCTTTATGATGAGCTTGTGTGGCATCATTATCTTTGTTACTATCAGATTGTAACTTAATCAAGTGTAAGTAGGCATAATTATCACAGACTAATAATCTTGTTTCCTTATCCATATGTTGGTATTCTTTTGACAATAGTTCTAGAAGTACTGTACGATATTTATTGGAAAATGGTTTGAAAGTAGTGTGGTGATTTAATAAAATAACTTTCAGAACTGGTAAACAAAGTTTTGGTTGATACTGAGTTAGAGTAATTAGAGTTGGAATAATTGTCTTCAACTTTGGGATCAATCCTTCTCTAGACATGGTTGGTTTAGTCCTCATCAAATCCATTAAAATAGATAGAGTAGAGATTAAAGTTTCAATAACTACTCTTCCCTGAACAGTTGTTGAGGTAGATGAATAGTAACTGGTTCTTTGTTCTAATTTGGAATAGATTGTTGCTAATAATTGACTACCATGGGAACATAAAACTAATGGGTTGTATGCACAGATAATAGCAGCTGTATGACAGCCCTTCCATATTTCATAGTCATCACTTGAACGTAATAATTTCAAGATCTTTGTTACTAAAAGACCCAATTCAGACTTTAATAACTTCTCATTGACATATGTAGGAGATCTTAAAGTTCTTAAGATAGTTTGCAATTCATCACCGTTAGCCAGTTCTAGTTTTTTGGCTAAAACAGATACTGGAACCTCAGACCTGAATTCAGACATAGCGTCGTCCTATATTCAAATTTATCCTCGTAAGATTACTCAAATAGCGATTAACCAAATAGCCTATGCAGTTAAATTTTGTACTCTTAGATCAAAATTTAATCATGAAAAGAGATATATCCTAATGATACACTTTCTATTTATGTTGTAATACTAGGTAAGAGTTATGATGAGATGAGATGAGATGAGATGAGATGAGATGAGATGAGATGAAAATTTTTAACTATATCGTTATCAATGATAAACATTGACAAGAGATAGCAGTCCGATGACAGCATTTTGAGAACCTCTTTACCAGGCTCATGATTATTTTACCTCAACAATGGGGAAGATTTACTATCTTCTTTAAATATTCATACCATTCCTGAATTCAGAAGTGTAGTAGTCATATTTAAGAATTTTTTTTCTCTTTTCTACCTTGGATAGAATAAATAAATGTATGATCCGCATAAAATTAAACTGGGCAATGAAAATAAAAACTTAGTTTATGTTCATATACCAAACCCTAAAATCTTATATGACATATATATGATTAGTTATTAATGTTCAATTGTTATTTTTGCAATATCAGCGGACAACAAGCTTCCACAATCATTAATTCTGAAAATAGTGTGACATTTTAAACACTATATCTACCAAAACTACAGCTGATCAAATGACCTTTCAGGTGGATAAATAAATGTAGTAAAGTTATTTTTAGAATTATTAGAAAGATACTAAATTAAGTTTCTTACAATTACTATAATATTACTGTTTAAATTTTTTTGGTTTGAACATTGATAAGAAGGAGAAAAACTTAAAATTTTAAAAGTGCTCCATGAATCAAAAACTTTGCAGCAGTTTTAAACTCTTTCAATAAGTTAATATTTTGTCTTAAGAACTCGTCAGTATCGACATTCGAAGATGCGTTCCCTTGTGCTTTGTAGACAATATTTTATCTTAAATAAATTACTCCATTATTCTAAATTACAACTGCGAATCATTGGCCTCATCTGCCAAATATTGCTATAAAACTTTTCATGTCACCTAGATCGTTAGTAATTGGCGAGACACCATAATTAATAATACTGATTATGGTATGTATCAGATCAGATACTACAGGAACCCATATAAGGCTGAGTGGTTATTAAACTGAACTTGGTTTTCAACACACCAAAATCTGACCATCTCGAAATTTGCATATATTTTGTTCACTTCAACATGTTTTGTTGTAACCCAAAATATAGTGAATATACCTAGAGGTTTACAGAATATTGTTATGACATAATAAATAATATTTATTGTGATAATAATGTTTAATCAAATATTACTAACCCGATAGAGTATTAACATTATTATTAATATCAGGTTAAAAACAGTAATTATAATCAGCAATTGATAAGAAGACTTTGAATTATTGATAGTTAGTTGTAAAAGCATAATCAATATAATTGATTGATAATTGTAGAGAATCATAAGGTTATTTCTTTACAGAAGTTTTGAATAGTGTTAAATTTGTTATTTATTTCCTAGGACATTCTTATTTAGTAGATGTTAATCCGGTGTATTAAAATATATTATATATATACGGAAAGGTCTTTAATTTGATAAGTATCAATCAAGATCTTATCCAACTTTATATACAGTGTTTAGATATTCCTAACAGGCCAGAAGAAAATACTTTCGTATTCGAGACATTTCTTTACTCCCTATTAATAGTGATGTAGAGAATCAGAGGGTTGTGTATTCTTTACAGAATCGTTAATAGTAGTAGATTGTTTAGTTGTTTGCAAGGACATTCTTGTTGTAACCTAAAATGTATGGTTCACACTAATGGGTTTCAAGGTTATGGCAATAAAGGTTATGGCAGTAAAGGTTATGACAGTAAAGGTTATGACACGTTGCAATTGTTCGATCGCAAATGGCATACTCGACCTTCTAAGTAATTGCCAAATCATATCATAAGAAGTGAAGTGCAAAGGCATCATAATTTATTATCATAAATAAATAATATTAAGAATATGAGATTGGATCTAAACATATAAAAAGGCATGACATTTTGGTACATCTAAAATATTGTTTATCTAAAATATTAATATATATTTATTTAGTTACATTTATAAGACACTACGGAGAAATAAATATAAATATTATATTAAAAACATCTTGTATCAATCACCAAAATGAATCAATCAGATATTACTTTTACATCTGAACAATTCTTAATAAGTTGATATTGATCCGGTGTATTAAAGTATATAATATACACATGGGAATATAATTAACATGACAAGTGTCAATTAAGATCTTGTCATTTCTTATATAATGTGTTGGAAAAGTTTTAACGTCAGAAATAACACTTTCGTGTAAAGTAACATTTCTTTATTCTATATGAATAATGTCGTAATACGTATATATCACGTGTTACATCATAATTCTGACATATATAAAGATCTCTGTCTCTCTTTTAATAGCAAGAAGTGTGTACCTTATACTTCAGGAACTCCGTCCTTTATATACGTCGCGTTAGCCATTTATTAGCGTCATTGTAATATTCACCTGTAAGGTAAATCCTTTTATCTTAATCTTGTCACTTTGTACTAACGCTGAATCAATACAACATCATCATAATAACTAGTAAACACATTTATACAATATACAATGAATTTCAACAAATAAAGTGGTTGTTTGGCCGAGCGGTCTAAGGCGCCTGATTCAAGTAATAGATTACTTAACTACTAAGTAGGAATACTCAGGTATCGTAAGATGCAAGAGTTCGAATCTCTTAGCAACCATTAATTTTTTCGTTTTTGGGTCAGGTTGGATAAAAGCCGAAACCTAAGACTATTTGATTCTCAAGCGACCTCCATTATCTATATAGACGCTAGTCTTACAGGCGCCGCCTTGCTTCTACTACCAACGGAGAAACCATACTATACCCAATCGCTTTCTACTCACTCCGTTTCACCGACACTCAACAAAGGTACTCCACCGTCGAACGCGAATTATGGGCGGTCCTACACACCCTGGAAAAGGCCCGGTTTGTACTATCATCTAGTATTACCATCTATACCGACAATCAAGGCATTATCAACATGGGAAAAACTGAACGTGCCACTCATCCAAGATTAACTAAGTATCTTGATTTATTAAATACCTACAGGTTAAATTGGAAATACATCAAAGGCACTGACAACCATGCCGCAGATTACCTCAGCAGGTATGGATTAGATTCCCAACCTACATTAAATCTCGACGAATGGGACAAATTTTCAGTTGACATTGAACTCAATGCAACTACTCACTCGGATCAACATAGTGAAGATTTTACAACCTTAACCCAACAGACTACTCCCGAACCTATCCAAGAGGCTACTGAAGAATCACACGAACAAGCTAATTATCTCATTGACCAACAAACTCACGAAGACATACCAAACATTATACATGATGTTCGCAACCTATCTTGGTCCCAAATATTGGACATCTATCAGAACATAATACATATTTTCACATGGGTCAATAATAATTTCTACATCATCTACCTTGACCAGCTCCACCATATACTTACCGATGTGGACTATATCGAAAGGGCCACTTCACTCCATAATGCTTTTCATGCTAACCACCAAATATTGGAAAAATATGATGATCCAGGAGGAATTCTGGAATCCTCAACATGTCATACTACTTTTAGATGTAATCAGAAACTGCCAACATTGTGAGATCTACCAATGTTTTGTAGACTTACTAGTCGAACTACCCAAGATGAAAAACACTCCATCACTTACACGTAGGTATTTTCGATTTTGAGGGAACTTTGACAACATGGAATGATTTCAATACTTCATAATAGCAGTCGATTATACCTCCATCCTCACCATTACAAAACCCCTTATTTCACCCAACTCCAATGCAGTCACTGATATGATATTACAAATATACAGCATGTTTGGAAGACCCCATGCCATCATTACATATAATGCATAAGCTTTTTGTTCAGATACAGTCGAAAAGGTAACCAAGGAACTACATACATTTCAAATATCACTAACATTATGTGTATAACCCACGAGGAAACAGCAAAGCTGAAACAGTTAATATAGATGCCAAGAAATACCCTTAGGTACGACAACAATCAAGGGTATTTCTTAGAAGAACGAACGAAACAGATATCTTCCAAGAAAAAGAACAGGTTCAATTAGCGACATTCAACCACCAGTTATTACACGACGCTCGAAGAATTACAAAAGACGAAAATCTGTGAAATGTTATCGAAAGTAAGAAAGGATATACTAAACGACCTGAAATACATAGTAGGAGACCCTGTTTATTGGCTACAACAGAAGAATAAGAAACATGAACTTGCATGGGATGGTCACTTTACCATGCCACAACAAGTTGGAAACCACATACATAAGATTAAAGAAAGTAAATTGTAGAGAATCAGAGGTTTGTTGGTTCTTTACAGAATCGTTCATAGTGTTAGATTGTTTAGTTGTTTGCAAGGACATTCTTGATAAGTTGATTTTGATCCTGTTGTGACCTAAAATATAGGTAATATAGTGGTAGGTATACAGGATATTGTCATGACGCAATGTTTGACAATTGCCGCGATGACAATATATAATCCAATATTACTAACTCAATGGATTATTACTGGTTTGTAGTATTATGTTGGCTCATTGTGGTCACTCTGTTACTAGATAACTGGATCGTTCTTTTAGTTTTATACATAGTTACTTATTATATTACTATATATATTCTTCTTTTATACTTCAAGATGCCTTGAAGAGTTTTCGGTTCGGACAGACACTTGTGAGACATGGTAATATGGCTTTATAATGTATTGTTTCAACATAGTTTAATACGAATGGATTGTAAGATCTATGACACCAGATAATAAGTGTTATTATCGTTCATATTTATAAAGACTAATAGTGACTGCTATTTGAAACAATTGTATATTATTGTATATTATTTACTTACTTCTTTGTACATTAGAAGAGGGGATATAGAACTCTTTAATAATAAATATACTTATTAACAACACTACTCTACCACCAAATAGACGAATAGAATAAATACCATAACAGCATTTACTCGACGTACAATTATTAGATATCTACAACTAAAGAATTCACAACAAAGAATACAATACGTTTATATCACGTGTTACCTCATAATTCTGACACTTTTATATATCTCAGTTCCGATGAGATGCCTTCGGATTCTTAGGTTACCCTTACATAGTTCACGTGACATTCATTCAGTCGTTGTTGATGATAACGATGCCTTCGTTTTATCTTTTCCTACAACAAATTTACGATATATATTGTCCCAGTGGCCGAGTGGTTAAGGCGATGCCCTGCTATTTCCAAGAAAAAGCTGTAAGGCATTGGGTTTTACCTTCGCAGGTTCGAATCCTGTCTGTGACGATTTTTTACCTTCTAAAAATCTTATTCTTTTAAACAAAGATGTGCAACATTAAAAAAGGATGCCAGAGTAATTTTACTTAATAAATAGGTTTATATTAAAAATCTACTTTACTATATGTTACTTAATGTTTCGTTAAAATGTGTTTAATTAGTTTCCTGATACCATGGATCAGGCACCATTAAAATATAGCGTTCCATTGCTTCTCTGAATCTATTCTTATATTGTCTTGGAGTTACAACTGTTGGCATTTTTGAACTATTTCCACCTACTAAACCTTTTTCTTTAACCCAACTTTCTAGCTTTTTATCCCACGTAAACGTCCTAATAAAATCTATAATACCTGCAGTGATGGTGTGTCCCTCATTATCTATACCAATAACAAGAGAATAGTCCATTACGTTCATTTTCGCTAAAAATAATGTATCATTCCATAGGGATGCTCTCAAAAGTTTTTTGTCATATTCTCTAACATGAATTGGTGATTCATAAATATATTCTACCATATTTTCATCTAGAAGAACTTCATTCTCCTTTCCAGTTTGTTCAACATGCCTGTTCCTCATCGATCCTTTCAGGTCGAAAATTCGACTTGTTTTCTTTTCATAAAATAAATTTTCCATAATGATTAAATCCATTTTATAACTTTTAGAGTTAGCTGAGCTTTTTATTTGAATTTGATAAAATCCAAAAATTTTTGCTAAAGCTGTAGGTAAATCATGGAACATAGCTTGCGACATATATTCAAAATAACTTGGTGCAAATTTAATAAAAGCATCCAGTTCAGCATGCGATAGTTCTTTAACAACGAATCGATCATCCAATGTTTTCAAAAAACCACTACCACTTTTCCCCCCACTTGAGTCCCATTTAATACATCTTGATAAACTTTGTATAAAATTCTCATGGCATCCACAAATTCTTCTGAATGCTTCAAAATGTTCTGCAAAAAATATCTTACATGACATCACAGTTTCCTGGTCTTGGAATTGATAACGAAGATGCATTGCGGTTGACTTTGTCATACTTTTCTCCATTATCTGATTATCCGTTAATATGGCTTCGATTGCTTGAGAGTCCGTTCCTAGACATGGATCGATAGCAATTTCGTTTGTCAAACTTGATTTGTCGAAGATTTCATTATCTTTAACACTTTCAGAAGCTTCGGAAAAATTATGGTTCAACAAATTATTTACTACTTTATCGTTCGGAATGTTATTTATTACCGACGAATCTTGTTTTAGATCAATAAGTGTCGCCATTTTTTGTTTATAATCTGATGTGCTTAAGCAAAAAGCGACCAAAGAAGTAGGTTCATCATCTCTTATAAGAACATTGCTATCCGGAAATATATGCTCCGAATGAGATGTTGGATATGTCAGAGGTTTCCAAGATGACGCTGACCTATCTGCCCAAAAATTTGAAAGCGTTTTCATCAATAAGGACCTTTCTGGTTGTACTACGGTTTCATCTTTCTTCATATTAGTTTCAGTAATAGTTGGAGGTAAAGGTGCAGTTAACGTATTTTTCATTACTTTTGGCGATTCTTTTGTATTTTCACTATCATGATCATGTTCTGACGCAGATCTATTAAGAATATGTTCTCCCCACTTATGCATCGAACTTTCCAATTCCTGTTTAAGTTTCTCGTTTACGTTCTGTTGATCTGTAGCAGAAACCTGATAGCTGTCATTTTGTCTGTTTTTAGATGAACCACCTAAGTCTTCGATTGTATTTTTATCATGTAGGGGTTCATCTACAGCATCTTTGACATCCTTATATATATCTACTATCGGTGCTGTATGATGTATTCTTAGAGATTGATACTTAGATTTATTAGTATGCAATCTTTCGAGCTCCCTTTGTAATTCAAATTCTTTTGATAATGCATCAAAATGCATTTGATCAAAAAAATTGGCTAGTTGACCAACTTTAGTATCAATTTTTCGATCTTTACTTGTGTAAGAGTTTGGACTCTCGATATCTGTAAAACTTATTCTTCTTACATCCTGTAACTTAGGACTTGAGAATGCTTGTTTATCATATTTCTCATCACTATTTTCAGATCTCCCAGTCTCTGAAACCAACCTTTCCTGAGTGTTCTCCTTTTGAGAGTTTTGTTTATCAGAGTCCAATAAATGAGAACTTGAATCAATATCTTCTGATAATATTGTTTTGAGTTCTATATTATTAGTAGAGTTTGATTCATATTTTTCTGCCAGGTCAGACTGTTCATTATTATCACCTGTATCTAATTCTGAAGAAACATGTTTATTACCATCGTTAACTACTTCGCAATTATATTGATTAACATAACTATTATCCTGATTAGAGCCGAAAAGCTTTTTTAATTGATTTGATGTAATCAAAGAAATATCTTTCTCTGATGGCAAATACTGCTCAGCAAAGATATTGAATTCCGCATCCCACAATGATGCTCTTTCAACCAATTTATTGATAATAGAATTTAAAATAAGATGATGGTCTCCTTCTGTCTTTCTGTAAAGGTTTTCTAATTGATCTAACATGTTTTTTTTTTCATCATCAACTTTTATCAATAATTCTGTTAGAAGTTCGTTACCTAATGTAAGCTTTTCTCCCGAAATACTGTCTAATTTGATCCCGTTCAATCTTTCAGTCACACTCCCATAAAAGATATTAATTTTGTCCAAAATTTGATAATATAATTCTACCTTTAATTTAATATCCTTATGCGATTTCCATACTATTTTTCTAGGTGGTGTAACCAGTTCATAAACTTCCAATTCCGAATATTCTACCCTAACAACCAAATCATTATACCCAAAATACTTCACATGATCTTTTGCAAAATCATGGTTACATTTTCCAATTTCATTAACACTTCTCTTATTACTCCAATACATAACCTCTAAATATTTACCAAATGAGTAATTCCATGTTTTTTGACTCATCTGTAGTATGGATGTTGATGTCCCACACTTTTTGCAATAACTCCATGTTAGTATTGTATCTATAAGTTTAGGTAGTTTGGTATTAAATCTTTCAATCATGACGTCTACTTTTCCTGACCCATGAACATAACTTCTATAATGGTCTATTAATAGCCCATTACACCCTTGTTCACAAGGGTAATTTGAGGTAGCAACAACATTTTCAATGAACTGTCCAATTGAAATATCACTATCCCAGAAGTAATCAATGCTTACGATTTGAGGACCGACACATGGCGTGGAAGTTTTAGTTGAAACCATTGAATATAGAACTGCGATGGATTGATGCGAGCCAGTTCCCAATAAATTATGGTACTGAGAATGAGATAGTTCCCATTGTCTACTACGTCTCCGAAATTGTAGCTCTAAATCTTCAATTTCTTTACTATGAATAAATTTTGCCAGATATTTTAAATCTTTCTTTGTAAGTTTAGATTCTATATCAACAGGAACAATTCCCTTAATTTCAAGATCATCATTATTCTCAAGGAATTTTGATTTTTCATCCATTTTTTGAAGAAGCAGCAATTCCAACGTCCTAGCCTTACTAAGCAGAAATGGCATTGGAAATTCTACAGTCGGTGATACTGATAGAATACGTTTATTAAATTCACCCAAAAATTCTGCAAAGTATCCAGTAGGTGCAGATTCAACTTTCTTTTTTCTTGCATTAAGATAAAACTCAATTGATGGAATAATAAAATTATCATTAAAGAATGAACTTTCTAATTTTAATGAAAAAGCTGCATATATCATAAATTCCGATACTTGTTTAACTTTTTCCAACCCTTTATCCGAAGAACCTCTTAATAATATTGTACCTCCTAAAGAAGGATTGCATCCTCTAAGAAAAGTGTACGATTTGCTAATATTCCCATACACAAACGTTTTAACCTCAAATGACTCACATTCACCCATTCTAACATCAGAAACTAATTTATCAACTGAGACTGCTATATCAGATTCAGTTAACTTTGAAATTCGTTCCATTATCTGTGGTTTGATATTAAATTGAACTACTACTCCTGCCTTTACAAGTAACTCCAGTGCGTACCCGCTTACATTTGCAGCGACAAATATTACATCAGGATTCAGCGAAACAATTCGGGATATTAATTTATTCAAATATTCACGTTCTTGAGCCATCACTGCTTCAATGCTTAGAAACTGATTTTCATTTCTTTGATATTCTAAAGGAAACATAATTAAGAGAACTCTTGGGTTTTCTATATACCGCATCATGGATCTTGAACTTAGACCCTTAGAGAAAACAATACCATCTATGAATTCTGACTGAGATATATTCCCTCCTGCAATCCTTTTTATTTTGATATAATTCTGTCTATAATCAAGGGTATTGGAATCTTTCGCACTAATATCAATATTATGAACTTTATCCAGAAAGCCACGGATTGTGTTACTCCATTCGTCTTTGTCAGATAATTCTTGATCATCCATTACTTGTCTGATCAAGGCTTCTAAATGTAAAATAGAGACATCATTTAATTCATTTTTGTTTTCTTTAAAACTCCTCATTGCCGAAATACTTATAGATCTTCTATATGGCAAAAACTGATTATAACCAGCTCTATATTTAATAGGATAGTTATTTGACTGAATAGTACCTTCATTGGGAATTAATGTACTACCATTATCATTATTATCATTTATACATTCTTCATCATTATCCATAACGGACACCAGATTTGGGGTACTATGAGCTAATAAATTCATTCCTTTATATAATGAGATAGTGTTTCCTGGGTAATTTGGCTTACTTCTACTTTTTCTTCTAAATTTAATTCTTTGCAAAGATGCTTCTGCCCTTTGTGATGATTTAATAGATGTTCTCATAGATCTAATTGGATTAACCTTATCTTTAGTTCCATTCAAGGATGAATATATAGACATAGATCCTTCGTCTTCGGAAGATGATCCTTCTAGAATATGATGGCTGTCGTTGCTTGATGTTTTTAATGCTTTTACAACTTCATTTGGAGTCTTTTCTGAAACATCCATTTTTGAATGAGACGATTTCAATGAAGCATTATCCAATCCATAGTTGAATTCAAACTTAAAGTTCTTTTTACCAAAATTACGTATTACTGAATCTGAAATTTCTGGGCTTCCTGGTGAAATTTTTTCTTGTGGAGATTTCCCTCCACTGACGTATCCAAATATCGACTTTTTAAATGAATTAGAACTGTTTTTCTTCTTTGTCCTGGTATGATACGGAGATAATTTAACGTCATACGGCTGTGGAATCATATCGACATCTCTGATTGTATATCTATCACGTTGATTAGTACTTCCTGAACTATGAGACAAACCCCCATCGCCATATTTTTTTTTCAACTTGTATCCATTTGTTTGTTGTAAAGAATCTGAAAATATTTCCAACGATTCACCTTGTCTAGTGGCAGGTATTGTCATTTTAGGTGGGGGTGGAGGTGTTGAAACGAACAATTTTGAATCATCACCATTCGTTACCAAACTGTGAATATCATCATCACCGTTAAATAAATAAATCTTTTGATTATTCGAATTCATATCATTCAATACATCTGGTGTATTTCTTTTTGATAAAATTTCATCTTGAAGATATTCATTTTGTATGTCATCTTCTTCCTCCTCGCTCGAATCCTCATAAGTTTCCAAATGCCTGGAACAATTTTTGCAAACTTTCATTAATCCATTATAACCATATTTATCACCAGCAATTGGTGTCATACAGCTGCTACAAAATATTTGACCACACATTCTACAATGATGTTTTCTTCTAAAGGTATTAAACGCTTTGGCACATATGAAACATTCTCTTGCACTTTCGTCTTTCATCCAATATTCCTTTGAAAGGATCTGTTTATGTGGATTCTTATAATTTTTTCTATACATATTGTAAAATCCGAATAAAAAACTTTTTGATAAGGATGTATTCATCGAAGATGATCCACTTTTTGAAGAATAAGCATCATCATTGATGCCGTTGTCGAAATAATTACTAGAATTTGGATTTCTAATAGGAATAGCTTTAACAGTTGATTTTGATTCATATATGCTTGATCTCTTAGCATTTGCATCATTATTTAAAGTAAATGTCAAGGACCTTCCTTTAACATTGCCATTTCCGTTTAATACATTCCTTCTCATAGGTACATTTGAGGAATTGCCATTATTATTAAGAATAATATTCTTTTTTCCATTATTTTCTAAATTAATATTATCATTAACAGTGCTATTATTTACGTTGTCATCATTATTATCATCATTATTGTCATCATTAAGTAAATTTGTGATTGGAAGTCGCTCATTATCACTCCCTACTATCTCTCTGTTATCTAATACGTTAGCTCTGGTAAAAGTTTGATCTGTTATTAAAGTTTCAATCGTGTCCTTGGAACCATTAGTTCCCCCAGCTAATGTCGTTGGTAAGCTTATATTACTGAATTCTTTAGCCATAAAAGTCTTATTGTTATCACCAATGCTATTATTCTTCTCTCCATCGGTAATTATCGAATCCCGTAAGATAACTTTACCTGAATCATGAGCATTACCGTTAGAACTTATTTGTTTCGATACAAAATCATCATGATTACTCAAAATGCTGAAATCATGCTGCAGTAAAATATTTTGAGATTGATCCGATTTCACAGGTTCTAACCCTATATTTTTATTATTATCCCTCACATTATCATTATTATTAATGTTCATATTAATACTGCTACTGTTAACGTTATTGCTAGTAACATTACCATTTTCAGGTATAGTGACCGTTATATCATTACTAAGGACATTGCTAGTAACAACATCTGTTGTAGTCTTTGGAATCAGTACTTTTGTAGGCAACAATTCAGATTTATCCGTAGAAACAACCAATTCTGGCCCCTGTGTATCTAGCATTTGAATATTATTACTTAATTCACTAGTTTCTCCGATTTTACTTAATTTATCATTCATTATAACTACCCCCATGATCCTATATCATTTCAATGACTTGAGCCACACACCTATCCTAAAATAAAGATTAACCAATATATATAGTATATTCAATCAATAAGCCATCATTCACAACTTAATTTAAAACCAATGGATCAATCCTTGAACTTATGTGTACTCTTGTGTGTGTGTCTCTGTCTTGTTTTCGAAATCGATTAAATTATTGATTTTGATATCTCTGACCAGAAACCAAGGTCGATGCTGTTACCCGGAACCTCATCGGAGAAATAGGTAACCTCCAACCCTTCATCACGTGTAAAGACTAAACATTGATATAAGAACAAGAACGGCGGTTCCATGGACCTAATAGATGCAATGATAAGAAACCTTGAAATATCTAGAATTGAAGGGTTTGTTCATTTTATTTTGAAGTGTTATTAACAAGATATCTTGTATCTGACATTTATCTTTATTTGGGTAGAGATGAGATAGAAAAAGAAACATCTATAGCAGTAAAAAATATGTAAAACAGACATGTATACCGTAATATTTACGTCATTTTATTAGGAGGCATGGTACTACGTATTTATCGATTGTATACGAGAAGAGAATTTAAAAAAACACATACCTTACGAGTACTAGATCCTAAATAATGTAGTGTGATTATTGTTACTAAGTGTTCCCGTTCCCTTTTGATAAATTTTTCCACCCAAAATTATTATTCAAAGCTGCCAGCACCTAGTTGAGTTTCCCTAATGTAATAGAAACTTTCTCTATAGAAGAAAACCAGGGATGTATGACAAAAGAATGTTATTATTATCTACTATTTGATTATCTTTTCTTTTCATAAAATGTCCCATGGAACCTTGCCCAATAAATTTGAAGATATAGGAATAAATTCATTAAGTTGATTCAGCGACATTTGAAGGTACTAAACTGGATATTACACTCATGTAGAAACATAATTAATAATGTTTCAATAGAATGAAAAGAAGCTATAAAAAATATATACACAGAGACTGAAATTAATAACATCTCTTTTGTCGAAAAGTATCCAAAATATAGAAATGGAAAACAACTGTACGCTATTTTTTCTTAAAATGAGATTTCACTTTATGTATTAGCATCAATTCATTACTGTAGCTTTATAAACTCGCATGTTTCCTTTGTTAGTTCATGTTAACTCAGCTACGTTTGCATAGTTACCTATTTGCTAAAGAACAAACAGAAAAGATATCATCGGAATTCCGGAGAGATTCAGTTACAACGAAATAATGTCAAGGCAAGAGAAGGCAAACATAGACAAAAACACATATTAGGTCTTCAGATAGAAACGATAGAGACCTCCCTTCTCGGAACCATTTCATTTTTAACGATAAAACTGTATAGTGATTACTGTAGAGTTTACCAATATGGAAAGCCTTATGGTTCCTGACAAGACAAATGTTACGTCAACTCTGTGATAGTGGATATTATTATCTCGTCTTTTCATTTTATTAGTTTCTTGCCTTTTGGTATTAAACCCGGCTTGTAAGGAACACTCTGGCAAAAGTGCAGCTATCCATTTATATACATTTCCCTTCTTAGTAATTAAGCATTTGGTAAGAAATTTGAAAAATACCCAGGCAAGCTGGGTTAAGCTACACCAGTAGCTACAAACCAATACTACTGAAAATAATCATTCGTATACTACCAGATAGTTTAGGTACAATATCCTCGTCTCTTTATTTTTACTGATTCTTCCTGTCTTGTGCGATTTAAATGCAACGCGATGGAAGATAATGATCCGAGAGTAGAGCTACAAGAGACAATTTAATACATGGTGGGTAAATCTGGATGTACCTTAGAACGTTAGAGATCGTTGGCAAACATACTAAGAGAAACAATAGCCTCATATAAAAAAATTTTAATCTTGCATGTCCAAAAAACTTTTTCATGAAACTTGAGTTGCATAAGGCTTCTTCAGGTCTCACAAGGCAAACTCATCTATTCTTGCTTTTTCTTTTAAAAGTTAACTTCAGAAAAGGAGAGTTGCTGCTGCATTTGTATCCTTTAGTTGTTTCTTTTCTCTAAATCTCGAAACCTCAACTTTCTTTCTTATGTATTGCAAGAATTGTCAAACCTGAAGGATTTTATACCTAGATCAGAAATGAAAAACCCAACTTTACCTTGTTCTAATTTCTTTTTATCTTCAAAGACATTGATGTAACTAATTATCATTATCATAATGTTTGCTACAGGTTTGGAAGATGAGATTAAAGCCGTTACCACTACAATTCATTAGATGAGATTAAGTTATAAATAAATATCTCTATTTTTTTGGAGCTACAGCTAATTTATTATTGAATAAAAAATTATTTCTTTTGCTTGTCTCTATTTGTATTGGATTCCATAATTTTGGAGTGTAATGTAGGAACATTCGGATAAGCATATCTGAATAAATCCCGTCCTTCTCCGTCACTCATTGTCTTAGCTCATTTTCCCTCCTACTACATCCTGTAAACGTAATAATTTCCTCTTGTACACAACCTCAAAAGGGGCCCTTAAAAAGTTTTCTTGCCTTTCTTTCTTGCTTACCATGGAACTAGAAAATTATATTCATCTACCATCTACAAAGATACTGAAATGCTTACAAGGGGTTATATACTTGTGTTTGTCAGTGCAATTGTTACTACTTTTGGTAAAACAATACTGTTTCTCAAATATTTTATTACTTTCTACTTAACTATTCCTTTCATTAACTCTGAAAACCCATCATGATCAAGTTCCAAGTGTCAGCCCGTACTAATCCCGGAAATGCTTTTTCTGAATAACCACCGTTGTGCCAGTTCTGATCCAATATTGCTTTTTCATCTTGATCGTTACTTGAAGGATTATTAGGTTCAATTTACGAGGAAATAACAGTTTAATGAAGCATTCAGTCACCAACCTGAATTAATAAAAAGAAAAATAAAAGACAATATTTGAAAATGGCTCTCGTTCTAACTCCCTGTCTCTATGTTTTACCTGCTTGCCAAATATTTTAAAAAGCATAAAGAAGACAGAAATAGGAATTGATTCCTAATATTTGAAAGACCCCATAGTTACGGCAGCTTTATAAAACCTGCTTAAAATGATATGTTATTCTGGCCAATATTCAACCACCACTATTTCAAGGCAGTATTTTATTTTATCATTAATACTTGAAGTTAGCATTTAAATCGACTGAATCAATTTCAACTGTCTGAAGAGACCATACCCATAAGAAGTAATTTTAACGATACATAATAGTATGTGTTATTGGTTCATTTGTTCCAGTTGCAAGTGAAATATAACTGTTTTTTGCAATTGTTTGCCTTGAAGTTAGTTAAATTTTCAAATGTTAGTGAGCATCTCTCGTAAACATCTCCTGTCTCAAAATTTGTTTCCTGCTAATATAGGTTTACCATTTTTGGTTCAGGATATTTTACCCATTATTTTGTTCCTCTAATGCTTATTTCCTGAAGGCCAAATATTCACATCTGATATTTAGGATAATTGTGTAATTTATTGAAGATATGTTATTGTCTAAGAAATACAAGACGAGCAAGTCTCACTTATCAATACTATATATATCACTAATATGAGAAATACCAATGAATTCTCAAGACAAGCTAAGTTTTTAAACTTGTAGTACTATTCCTTATGTTATTACTAAATATCTTACTAAATATCTTACAATTCAAAGTAGCGGTAGTAGTTTAATTCTTATTCAATACCTTATCCCACATATAGTAGAAAACGATTATAGGGTATGGATCTTCCCTCTAAATAGTATGAATATTGTTATTGACATCTACTGAAATTATTCAGATATAACGGAAATATTTCCTTATTGGTATCGCATTGCTTAGATATATTACACTGTCCTTAAGACAATAACAAAGTCAGGAAGACGATAAAGGCAATACTAATTGTAAAAATTAGTTATGGAAAGAATTAATTCCCATCGATTTATCAATTTATTATTAGATAAATTGTATTAATATATCCACATATTTATCCATATATATAGTGGGTGTCAAGATGGAGTTTAGTATAAGTTTAATCCCTTTATAAATTGCATTATAATGTTCAATCCCAAATATTGAAAAATCCTTTGATAATTAAACAAGTAATATCACGACAGATTTAGAAAAATCAGTATAGTCTATTAAAAATTTCTGATATATCAAAATGATTTTTAATAGATCAGTAACATTTCTGATATTTTTCTTTTTAATTAATAACATATCTTGTTATGGGGATTTATTCTTCATGGATTACCATGAACGTAATCTACCGATTGAATTGTCAATAACAAATAATTCACAAGATAATCTAATTCTCCCATTTAATAAGACAAGAGTAATAGGTAGTAAAAATCATAAAGAAGTTCAAAACTTTATAATAGACCATTTTACTAATACTCTTTCACGTAAATGGGTATTTGAAGAAGATTCATTTGAAGCAAATAATCATAATTTCACAAATTTAATATTTACTTTAAATAAACCTAATGTCAGTAAATATATTGTCATTGGTGCTCATTATGATTCAAAGATTTTACCAAAAAAGGAGTACATTGGCGCTGTCGACAGTGCTGCCACATGTGGTATTCTATTATATGTCTCTAAATTTTTGGATAGAATACTTACAGAAGAATCAGACTCCCTTGCCTCAAGGTTAATTAATGAATCTAATTTTGGTTTAAAAATTGTTTTCTTTGATGGTAAAGAATCAATCAAACAATGGTCACCAGAAGATTCATCTTATGGTGCAAAGCATTTAGCTGAAATATGGGAAGAACAGGGAATCAATGATAAGATTGAACTATTTATTGTCGCCAATTTATTAGGTGGACCTGAACAAAAGGATGGTGTTACTAGTCACTTCATTAACACTTTAGGATATTTGAAAATGCTGGAAGATGTCGAAACCGTTTATAATAGTATAGATTTGAACAATATTGATAACATAAACATGAGACTAAGAAAGAAACAGGTAATCTCAAGGTCAAAGTCTTTTATGACTGCACAAAAATATACGGTCAAAGATGATCATATTGAATTTTTAAAGTATAATGTACCAATGTTATACACTGCTCCATTACCTTATCCACGTCACTGGCACAGAGTTTCAGATACATTTGAAAATTTATCACAACAACAAGTATATAGATGGGGGATCCTTCTTTCTGATTACATGATTCGTTTGTTGCTGTAACTATACTCGAAAAAAATTCATACATGCACATGTAAGATACATACACATAGAAGATACATACTTACATAATTAATTAATTAAATATACACATAATATCAAATTTATTTCTCAATTAAGAATCTTATGATTAACGAATTAAATATCTCATCATTAACCAAAAGATTAACATAAAAGAATGGATCTTCGATGGTTCTCAGAAACGCAATATATTCTTCAACACATTCCCATACTTTTAATTGTAATTCGATCACTCTATTCGTGTTAATTGCATTCCAAACTTTTATATTCTTACAATGTCAATAGTTTAAATACTAATGAGCTTTAATTTGTTCATTTTCAATATGGTTTACGATATCAGGTATATAGAAAAAGTAAGAAAGGACCAAAGATTAAGAAATGAGAAAGGAAGTTAATGTCATAGTTAGTGGTATATTAAACTAGTTGTAGCTTTTAAGGCTTTCTAGAATTGTGAGTGTGTCAAAATATACTTAGAAGTGTATATACTCAGTTATAAAGTAAATATTTTAATTTTCAATGGATGTTAAGGATGCTGTATCAAAATATAAGGAGACCAATGATGTTGATGTCAAGTATATGCTTTTAAGACAAGATTTTAAGATTGAGACAATTCCAAATGATCTCGTACATCTTTTAAATCAATTATTGTTTCCTATTCTATTGAATGAAACTGATTTGGAATTGATTGATTTGGTTTCATCTGAGGTTTTTCCTGTGGTAATTAAAAAAGGGTTACTATTGACCAGTATCAATGGGATGTATAATGCTAATTTTATGTTACAATATTTAATCGAGCCATTTTTAAGAGACAATGAGTCTAGAAATACTATGATGATTACTACATTACGCAATATATTGAAAAATATTGATTCAAAAAAGATAATTGTTGATAAATCTGGAGCAGAAGAGATTATTAGATATTTTATTGAACACTTCAATAAACACAACGAATCTTATTCAAGCAACAGGGTTATGTATTGGGAAACATTGCTGCTTTTACTTCAATTTTTTTATGATAGTGAACCTGAATCTAATGAATTAAGTACAGATATCATCAAAAGTGCAATACTTTTTACAAACAATGGTTTGTTAGATAGTAGCATCAAAGATTGTTTGGTTTATATAACTAAAAATACATCAAATAATGAGCTTTCAAGAATTGTCGAAATTGCAAGTTTTGATATCATTGAAATTATTTCTGTGGTATGGAATAAATTCAACGTGGTAGTTGAAAAATTGCTAGATAGAAGAATTATCCCAAGCATTATTCGTTATAATGAAGATAATGATATAAGTGATGAACTTATTTTAACACAATTAAAAACTTTATCAAATTTACATAAATTTTTTGATACAAACATATTACTTTTGACACAAGATGAATCTGGTGGAATAATGACCAACTATAATAATAAAAATACGAAATATATTAGTGACATTCTACTATCAAAACTACGAGAGGCATTGATGTCATTATTGCTGCTTGAAACTTCAAAATTTGATGTTCTTTGTGAACGAAATGAAACTGAATATAGAAAAGGTTTTATGGAAGAAGATGATAACAATGACGAAATGGAACTAGATGATGATGCTGATCAACAAGCGTATTTGGAAGAATTAGAGGATGATCAAGATGAAGAGCCATTCTTAGAGGAAGAAGGGAATATTGTTAATAATGAAGACATTAAAAGTCGTACAAATTTGATTATTAATGAAACTTTAGAACTATTACTAAAATTAGGTGTAGAGAATATTAATAATTTTGAAATTTTCGAAATAATGAAGAGATTTAACATAAAATTACCTAATGATGATGTTACTGACAACGAAATGGAATTTAATGAGAAACTAATAGCTAGCATGGGTTTTGAAGAACTTTGTGAAAATAGTAAACCATTGGTTAAGGAACTGGGGGAAAGAATCAATGAAAATATCGAAGTTTCGATTGAGTTAGAAAGATGGATTCATACTATTCGCGATGTAGTAGTTAAACTTAATAATAACCGGAGTAATTACCAATATGAACAACAATGTGCTGAAATTGAGAATGGCATATGCTCAATATTGACACCATTATTAAAACCTATCAAAACATACATTACTACGATCAAAGTAGGGAATATGAAACAGAGTATTGATGAAGGCATTACAATTAGGACATCGATATACGGAATTGTTTCACAGTTAAATGATATAGAATATTCGAGAGCATGTGAGGTGATAATTGAAATGATACAAAAAGGACTAAAAGAACGAGAAAATTATGCAATCAATCAGCTAGCTATGAAGACCTTAGAAAAGCAATTGAGTTTACACCGTGATGATATACAAGGCTTAAATGAAGATTGGTACCAAAACGTATTAATTCCGAAGGTTCATAATAGACTTCTTAAATTGGATGCAATTATAGGAACACAAGAAGAAGATGAAGAAGAATTAAAGGATGATACCGTATTACAACAGAAAATTCAGATTATTAATCAATTGAAGAGCTTGTTTGTTTAAAAACCATGACATTAGAATAATGTGAGTGAAAAAGATAATAATACTAATAATAGTAAATAATAAAAATGTGTTTCTTCATCATTTAACCAACTGATCGTATTTCGTAATGATAGAATTATTAATAAAAAAAATAAGCGTACGACGCAGCCAAGAAATTAAAAATTATTTTGTTTGTCAGATCAATTCCAATAAACTTATGTATATGCAACCTGAATGCTATGGTAGTAGAAAATGAATTATAGATCGACGAACAAGTAAAATAAAATTACAAATAAGAATAATATTAAGAACAAAAGAAGCTACCCATAACCGCTATAAGACGTCTCAAACATTAAAACTTGAACCAAATTTGGATAAAATGATCTCGAATTCACAACATTTTACATGTGAATACACACTACCGACAATACACTATACTCTATCTATGTAATCATATGTCTATACTATTGTTACTTCCCACTAGTTACGTAATTTAAGCAAAATCTTAGCACATGAGAGAACAAACATATACAGAATAAAAAAATAACAAAAGTAAGTGAATACAATCAAAACTACATAATGTCACTAATCTACCTCCATCAACTGATATATACTGATATATACTGATATATACTGATATAGATCAACACAATCTAGTTAATTGTATCTTTACAAGAGCAGGTTTACTTTCTCCAGAATAGTGTCCTAAAGAAAGAAACACTGCAGAAGAAACAGAAGGTTAAAACGAAATAACCTTATAAGTATCAGATCAATCAAGTAAGTACATACAAATAAAACAAAATATTTCAATTCACCCTCAATATTTACATTTAGAATTTAACTCGATTCGATTAGATTCGATTTAAATATTTGAAGAAAGATTACTTATTATAGACCTTCCCCCACATAACGTAGATGTGTATATCATACAACAGTAATCCAATAACGTTCCCCCTCTCCCTCTCTCTGTTGTCCAGGTGCTTCTCCAAGTAAGTCACGAGAATAGCCTTTAACTGATGTGGAACGAGAAGTCAAATGATGAATTCAAGTCGACTCAACTCGACCATGGATCATCAAGCAACAACCATACTCAAGTTACCAGTGATATAAACCGAATTTAACAGGTGAGCTGGCTGGTGGTGCTACTAGGTTGTGTGGTTGGCTTTCTTGAAATAATAAAAATCGTTAGTTAGCAGAGGAGACAAGAAAGTGGGATGAACCTCAAGTGCTTGTTGAGTTATCATCTTCAAATTAGATAGAGATAAATCGAAGTCACAGCGAGAAGACACGACTTCCTCCCTAAAGGCTTCCTGTTTGAGAATTATTTAATGAGGTTCATCGTTGCTTCTTCTAGAACCAGTGAGAACAGAACAAGAGTGTAACTAGTAATAGTAGTAGTACATAATAATATATTGTATTTATTTATTTATCTATTTGATGAAATATAAGGATATAGCATCTTTTTTTTACCAATAACAGTAATAAGATGGATGTCATTCAAATTCTATGGTCGTCCATCCATGCAAGGGTTACCAAACTTTTGTAGTGCTTCTCGTATTTCTTTCTATTCGTATATTCATTGTTCCAATAAGAGTCGAAATCGAATGAATATGAATATACGAAGAGCCAACTATGTATACAATACGTACTAACACTCACTCACTCACACCCCATCTAATCCCTCTTTATCTCTTAAACTTTTAGTTAAATCAACACCAGTTGATGTCTCAACCAATTCTGCAACATACGTTAGTTGTAGCTTTGGACAACTTAAGGAAAGAAGTAGACTATTATACTTGTGCTGTAACATTCGATGACATACCTTACATCAAAGTGTATTTCAACTGATACAGAAGACAGTACAGTAGGATACATGATACATTAAAATGAAATGAATCACCATTGAAATAAGTATTCCAATGCTATTAACTGTTGTGTGTTATTGTCAGAGTTGCCAACATCCCCTGATATCCAAAATAGATTGTGATTAAGATTGATTAATGATGCAAAAATAGTATAGGTTTAAGTACTTATTGGGTTAAGTTATCCAAGAGGTGTCTTATGGTTCATAGTAATGCATGATAATAATACAGCAGCAGTTAATGGCTTCATTTCTTCTTCTGATCAATCGAGAAGACACTGAACTGAGTAAGAAGACACTTTGTAATTTAATTGGGGTCCCTAAAGTATAATTATAATTCTAATTATTTTATTTAATATTAAATAATAACAACCAAGTGGAATTTATTTGTCATGTTCAAATTGTTATTAAGTCCAGTTATTTCTTTATTTAACCAACTGGGTTACATGTCTAATTATCCTACAACCTATGCATAATTGATACACTTGTATTATTTATTATAGATTATTAATACGTTTTACCATTCTATATTCCACTTTATTCCCATTCCATTATTACTTGTAAAATTTACATATATTCATATATAAACCTACTTACTTGTATTTGTGAATAAATCTCTCTAATATAACTAACTAGGATATTAATATCATATCAATAGACTTTAATAATAGACTCACAAAAGAGACATTTTATCAAAAGATACTTTTATAAATTTACAAAATATATTACAACAGCAACACTAAAACCAATAATAACATCATATACACATAAATAGCCATGCCAAACAACGAAACTTTATTAAGGGTCAAGAAGGCCAACGAAAGATATGCTAAGTCTCAGGACTTCTTAAATCTTGATGAACCACCAACCCCTCAAGAGACACCAAACATTTCAGAAATCAACTTACCTCAAACATCTAACCATGGCAATGGTGATGATAAGAAGAGAGAGACAGAAGGTGGACCATTATTCCATCAACGTAGGAGGTCAACTAATTACATGGATGCTTTAAATTTGAGAAGAAGCTCAAATACCAGTAATGATGAAGATTCTGCTGAAAAGGAAGCTGCAACAACTGTACAAAATGGTGACGTTGGCGAGAAGGATTTAAAGGATTCTGATAAACCTGAAAATGAAAGCCAGGAATGTATACTATCTCATATGAATCTACAACAGACCAAACATCATTTCCAGAATTTCCAAATGAATTCAGCTCAAGATGGTTATAACGATTGTAGGGGTATAGATATGGGTGATTATATTAAATCACAAAATACTCATAATCACAATTATACCACAATGACCCCTAAGGATTCCAAGATGCCTTCTGCTTCATCATCAACTACTCAAAAGGACTCGATGCCTTGTCAATTTGATACATCTCAGCTCACTGAAGAGGAAAAACAAGATTTAAACAGGCTAAGACAGAGACAAAGATCATTTGATTATGAAGATTTCAAGAAACACATCTATGAACGTTTGAATATGTTCAAAGAATAGTTGAAGAAATTCTCAAGTCAATGGTTTTTGTAAATGTTTGTTTCTAGTTATCCATTGATCAAAAGTTGGCATACAAACGTCATACATTGTGCTACTCGGTTTATTATTATTTTACTGTATTCTATGTGCTAATGTGACTTCCTATCTGTCAGTCATTGTCAAATTGAAATAATCATAATGACATTCTAATATAGAGATATCCCTTTTTATTTTTTACTCTCCACAGCCAACCCTCCAGGTACTCCAAACTATTTTTTGCTCTAAACTATAAATTCACCAATATTCATTGTTACTATATTCTTATATGTATAATTAATACTAACATTCTATCTAATAGCCATTGCCTTGGACTGAAGAGAATGTTCTGAAATATCTGTCATCCTCTGAGATGTCATTAATATTTGAAAAATGGCTAATCTAAAACATAAAGAAATTTAAACAAGTATACCAAACATATATAATATATACATTATTTAGTTTCCATGCTATACAAATCTATACCAATGTTTATTGTACTTCATTTGTCAATCGATAGTCCTGTCTAATCTTATCCTGTCATTGCTTTCATCCCATTTATGCTATGTTACGTTATTTTAGATAAATCACGTGATTTTGGATATTTTTTCAATTAACAAGGCTCGATAGGAAATGGAACCTTTAAAGTTTATCAAATATGGAAGAAATTGGAAGATGAGCTTAAATTGACATCAAATTATTGAAGGAACTTTAATTCCATTGATAATTCAAACGGATACATTTCTATTCCTGCTACTTTTACAGTTTGATGATATTAAAGTTTGCTTCAAATAACTTGCTGGTTCTATTATAAATTTTATTTTAGTGTTTTTCTCATTGGTTCTGTTATAGAAAAATTCGGTTACCATTAAAATCATTTCACCATATATAACATTATGTGGAAGAGGTCTACACCTCAAATATTTTCTATTCTAAGAGGAAGGGCTACGAAATCATGTCCGTTAATTACTATTTCATCTCCAGTTTGGACTAGATCTATATCTTATTCGAATGTCATACAGGCACCAAAGGGAAATAGAGGTAAAAAAACGAAGAAAAGTAGTGAAAAACCTAAACCGGTTAATTTTATAATACCAAACTATTTATCGGTGGATAAACTTTCTAATTTACTTAATTGCCGTGTAACTGATTTAATTAAAGATTTAGGGAAGCTTGGTTTCAAAGATGTCACCAACAAATATATTTTGACTAAAGAATATATTGAATTGATACTGCAAGAGTATAATTATGAATTGCCAAACTCAAATTTAGAGTTGAACTCTTCAAATGTATATGATTCTTTAAAACAAGCTGCAAATCCAAATAATTTAGAGAAAAGACCTCCAGTAGTTACAATTATGGGCCATATCGATCACGGTAAAACAACGATTATAGATCATTTGAGAAAATCATCTGTGGTAGATCAGGAACACGGTGGTATTACACAGCATATTGGTGCTTTTCAAGTTATAACACCTATTTCAAAAAAGAAAATTACATTCTTAGATACCCCAGGTCATGCTGCGTTTTTGAAAATGAGAGAAAGAGGTGCCAATATTACAGATATCATTATTTTGGTAGTATCAATTGAAGATTCTATTATGCCTCAGACTATTGAAGCAATTAAACATATAAAAAATTCAGGTAATGAATTGATAGTTGCTATTACTAAAATTGATAAAGCTACTACTCCAAGGGAACGTGAAAGAATGTTAGAAAAGGTTACGAATGATTTAATCGCACAGGAGATTCCTGTTGAAAAAATTGGAGGAGATGTTCAAGTCATACCGATAAGTGCAAGAACTGGTGAAAATATGGACTTATTAGAGGAATCGATTATTGCACTAAGTGACTTAATGGATATCAGAAGTGAAAATTCAAAGTCCACAATGGTTGAAGGTTGGGTTTTAGAAAGTCAAGTCAAAAAAATGATGGGAAATGTAGGTACAGTTCTTGTTAAAAAAGGTACTTTGAGAAAGGGAGATATCCTAGTTTGTGGTAACACCTACTGTAAGGTAAAAAATATGCTGACAGAGAGCCATAATCAAACTAACGAAGCTTTACCATCACAAGCAATTACTGTTTTGGGTTGGAAAGATCTTCCAATAGCTGGTGATGAGGTTATACAAGTTCCTAATGAATCTATAGCCAAGAAATCGATATCCAGAAGACTAACGTTAATAAAATCTGAAAATGACATGCAAACTGTCCTCAAATTAAATGAACAAAATGCACAAGAAAAATTAGAGAAAGAAAAGAATGATATTGATGAAGATGAAGATGAAGACGATATTGATGAACATGTTGTTGAAGAGACTGGTCCTAAGAAAATAAACTTCATCATCAAAGCTGATGTTTCTGGTTCTGCAGAAGCAATCAAAGATAGTCTTACTGGTTTAGGAAATAATGAAGTTGAATCATATATTGTTTCTACATCCGTTGGTAATCCTAACGAAAGTGACTTAAAAATGGCCAAGATAACTGATAGCAAAATTTTATGTTTTAATCTTGGATCTCTTCCAAGTGATATTGTTAACAATAAGGAAGGTATAGAAATTAGACAATACAATGTGATTTATAAATTGATTGAAGATGTGACAGAAATTTTGACGAATAATCTAGCTCCAATATATGAAAACAAGAATACAGCTACAGTTGAAATTCGTGAAATCTTTAATTACTCTCTAAAGAAGAAACAGCTTAAGGTTGCTGGCTGTAAAGTCATTAACGGTAAGATTACAAGAAATTCATTAGTGAAGGTTGTACGTGGAGATGAACAGAATCAAGTTTATGATGGTAGATTATCAACCTTAAAGCAAGGTAAGGATGACACAGCCGAAGTCTCTAAAGGTAAAGAATGTGGCATAACGTTTCAAAAAAATTTTGATAGTTATCAACCTGGTGATAAAATTATTGCATATGAAAAGGTAAAAGTTCAAAGATATTTGTAGATAAAGAAATGACAATTAAATATTCAAGCAATCCATTATGAACAATGGATATGTATAATTAAAAAGAAGTTTTTCAATAAGGGTATTTTTTACCCTTTCAAATGACATGTAGATAAAATGAATCTGTATTTTTAGGAAATTTTCTATAATTCATTAATAAATACCAATAATTAACTTAATTTTGAGATAAAAAAGTATTTAAATATATACTACAAAGGTAAGTTCGTTGTGATCTGATTATTATCGAACAACTATTTACTTCTTGTTTCCCATTGTACTTTAACAACTTCCTCTACGTAGCCTACACCATTTTCATCGAATTTTGGAATACAATTTCCTATATCAGTATAAACCAAAATTGTACCCCATTCCATACTATCTTCTAAGGAGACAGTTTCTTCCAAATCTAAGATCATCTTTGGCATTAACTGCATTTCGAATACTCTCTTGGAAGAAGGGTTATAAGATGGACTTGGTACAGCTTTATCGTAATCTACTTTTGAAGAAGCATATAACAATGGTTTACCACCAAAATCATAACGTAATACTTGAAATGGATTATAACCAACAATCTCTTGGAATTTTTGGAAAACATCATCATCAAGGAATTTTGAAAGCTTTTCAGTACGAGGATCCAATTTAATAGGATTTTTCTCTAAATCTTCTTCTATGTCATTACCTAATTCTAAGGCATCTTTATCGATCTTTAAATTCTTGGGTAGTTTTAAATGATCGGGTTGTTTATTCTTAAATGATTCAGGTTCAACAAATAATAAATAACTCTTAAAAGCAACTTTTGAATCGAATTCTTTATCCTTTTGAGAATCATGAACCTTTCTTGAAGTTTTCATTGATTCTTTCTTAGTATCCTTTTCGGTAGCATTGGCATTTTCAAAAGGATTATTATCAGTTGAGGATGAAGATTGAAATGGATTTGGACCATCGAAAGGATTCTGAGAACCATTTGATAGATCAAAAGGATTTATGTCGAATTTCTTTCCCTCATCCAAAGAATTTATCTTATTAGTTACAACATCTGAAGTTGAAATTGATGATTTTGAATTTTTTTTGACACCTCTAATACAGCGTACAGAATTTCCCTTTCTTTGACATTTAGTACATAAGAAAACGTACAACACCCTATCGTTCTCAGAATCTACATTCCTCATATCATTAACCCCCATAGATTGTTGAATCTCATCCACTTGATCAATATCTAATGGGCAAAAAGCTTGAATAAGTAACTTCATATTATCATTCTTCTTGCAAGCTCCACAAATCAACAAATCATTAGCTGGAATAGACTCAGGATGCAACCAAAGTGGAGTACCGCCAATAAAAGTATCTTCAACACCTAATTCATCGGTCTCCTTAACTGCAGCATCGATCAAAGCAAGATAAACTTCATTAGAACCACCTTCGTAGGTCGATTCATCTTCTTCAACGTCAGAAATTGGAACTTCTTCAATTTTTGACATCTTTAAATACAACAAAATTGCAATCAAAAACTTTAAATCTACTCACCTACCCAGTGACATATATAAACAACAATTTATCAACCTAAAGACATCAGAATTCAATCAAAACTCTTCTTTAACTTCTTCAAAATCGATTCGTCTATCGTAATAGACTCAACTTTTTTTCTGATATCTTGAAACTTTTCCATTTTTGGTGGTGAAAAATTTTAAAGATTGCGATGAGATGAGATGAGATGAGCTTTAAAGAGTAGATGAAAATTATTGAAGTAATATAATTTGGAAAGAGTGTTACAATTGCTATTACTTTTGTATATTGAGGGTTGTTGTTCATCGTCTGAAATCTGCAGTGTGGTTTATTGTGACTTAGGATAAATTTCAGTGGAAGAAAAGACCTATATTTGAAGTATTTCTAGGAGTGAGAGAGATGGAGAAGGAATTGGGTATGGATAGAACTTTGCATCGACTATTGACTGAACATAGTCTTCCCATTTCTAGCGGTGGTAGCAGTTGTAGTAATGATGAAGATGTCGATGATTCAGCTGGTGATATTGGGTTGGATCAATTGGCTGAGATGAATTCGGATTGGTTGGAGACTGATATTTTGCATGGCAAAGCTTTGACTTTGGAGAGTTTGCTAGAGGATCAACCTGAGGAGTTAATATTTGGGTTGGGTAAAGCTAATGATGATGATGATGATGATGAGGCCCATGACATTATGGATTTGAGCCATTTGAATGGTGCTATCGATAGCAACACTAATAATAACAACCATAATAATAATCATAATCATATTAATAATCATAATCATGACGGTAGCCATTATCACAGTAAAATCAACGAAAATGTCATGAAAAGAGCATTAGATGATCATATTAACGATCTTTTAGATAATAAAAAAATTAAGATTGAAGATAAAATTGCATACGAGTCAATATTGACACCAGTTTCATTATCTCCATCATCTACAGATGGTGTCGAGAACAATACTAATACCAATTCCAATAACAACAATAATAATAATGTCAAGGCATCTTCTTCCCCTGACTATAAGCATAAACATAACGAAAACGATAACAAAATAGCCAAGCCTAATTATAAACATGGTTTGGCTTTACCTATCACTAAGCATATTCTCAAAGAAAAGATTCAAACACCAATATCTCAGGTTCAAACAGTTGTTCTTCCTGTCCAAGAACGACCAATTGAAAAATTTACAAATGAATTTACAATGAAACAAGTTTTTGAAATGAAACAAAGAATGATCAACACTCATAAATTGATGTTGAATTTCAATTTATTAAAGGATAGTTACTCTAAGACATGCATTGAATTGAAAAAATCTTTAGTTTTATTAAAAGATATTGAAATTAGCAGATCACATTTAATTGTTGAAAATGAACAATTAAAGTTGGAATTAAAAGCATTGAAGCAGAAAAATCAAGTGCCAAATTTAACTTCAGATTAGCGCAATGTACATTTCATCATTTCACCAACTTCTCGATAAATACCAAAAGATAAAATGGAATTTAATTTGATAGATACTAAATCCAAGCTTTAACATTGATACATAGTTTGGTATGCATATATACATTTATATAGTATGTAAATAAAATTACAATACAATACAATACAATACAATATAACATTCTACTAAATAATATATTCAAGAGAAATAAATAATTCAAATGAAAACCATTGTATTCACTTACACATTTCTAAGTATATAAAAAAAATAAAGCTATACAAAATAAATTAATACCTATACAACTCCTACAAAGAGAACAGTTTATACGTCTCTTTGAACTAGATTTCCTCTATGGTACTTAAAATTTAAGCCTTCATCTTGTAGACAGAGTGGCACTTACCACAGTAGTATCTGTCCTTGTGGTTGGCCAAAAAGATACCGGCACCACAGGTAGAGTTGGAACATTCCTTTCTCAACTTGGTGACCTTACCTTCATCGTCAACCTTGAAGTAAGACAAGATAGCCAACTTGACCTTCTTGTGCTTGTGCTTGATCTTCTTTGGAGTGGTGTAAACCTTCTTCTTTCTCTTTTTACCACCACCTCTCAATCTCAAGACCAAGTGTAAAGTGGATTCCTTTTGGATGTTGTAGTCAGACAAAGTTCTACCGTCTTCCAATTGCTTACCAGCAAAGATCAATCTTTGTTGGTCAGGTGGAATACCTTCTTTGTCTTGAATCTTAGCCTTGACATTGTCAATGGTGTCAGAAGATTCAACTTCTAAGGTAATGGTCTTACCAGTTAAAGTCTTAACGAAAATTTGCATGATTGGCTTGTCGGCAATATATGCTAATATAGTGCTTCTTTCTTACCAAAATAGCTCGATGGTCTCTTTAAAAACGAGAAGATGTTTTTAAAAACCGTAAAACAAGACTCAGAATTAGCAAACCTAGTAAAAATGGAAAGGATGTGCTACAATTTGGATTTCGAGTGTTCCTTTTATACTGAAAATTTCTGGTTGAAAATTTTTTTGATTTTTTTCATAATTTTTCACCACGGCTAAATGGAGCTTTGAGTGAATATTGCCATTAACGGTATGCTGTTTCCTGATATGGATATGTGTTTCCTGATAAGGAAATAACTGTGTAAATGTGTTAGCGCCATACATATACTGATGGCCCATCCATTGTGGGAATACACATATAAAAGTGATTGGGAAGTTGGAAAAGAGAGAGAAATTGCTATCCTTTCTATCAATAGGTGTAGTGTGGGCCTCAGGCATTTAGATATATATATAAATATACTAGAACTTGTCTTCAATTCAAATCTAAATCTGAGTCCTCACTGTCATTCCCAGCACGGTTCCAGGACTTCTGTGACCGTGACGATGAGATTCCTGTCATTTGCTCCAGAAGACCATTGGAATACAGTAATTTCTCCAATGTATCCAATTGAAATTCATTGGGATCGTTACCCAGCGAAGAGAACCCTACGATTCTCAATCTTTCAACTCCTTTCTTGTACCCAACTACAAATGGCAACACTTTTATCGACAATCTATCCACTAAAAATGGACAGTTTTCAACATTAGCATAGACAAATTTTGTAGTTAAATGTTTTAAGGATAATTTTCGTAATTGTTCATTCATGTACTGACACTTTGCAAAATGATCCAATCCAAAACTTATAACTATCCTTTCAGTATTAGTGCTCATGGTGATGACCTCTTTTTCATTCTGAATCTCTTGTAATGAACCATACCCACCCTCTCTAACGTTCCTCTCCACCGTACGTGCATGATGTACCATTGCCTCAATCCTCTCCTCCCTATACTTGTTGCTGAACTCATCTCCATCTTCATTTTCCAACTCTTCTATCAATTGGTCAATATCATCGTCGTCGATCGACCCAGTAACCAAAAGTTTCCCTTCAAGTTCCTCCATAACAACACAATGCACTCAAATAAACCAACTGATACCTAATAGCAACTCGAAGATCTGTCTTCAACACTTTTGTTGCTCTTATCCAGACATTTCTTCTCTTGTTGATTCGTATTGTTATTGATATCTTTGATTTCAATATCAAAAATATTTAAAGGAACGTAACGATATTAGAAATTGGGAAACTTAACTATACTTTTAAACAGAAGTAATTAACGAGAAACGAAGGTCTGATTGGGTCAAGAAGGACTAAAAGTGGTAATTTGAAGGTTGTGGAATAAACTGACGAGGTTGTGTATCTGTTAAATATGAATTCGTTGTATGAGCTGGATCCTAAGTGGAGGAATTTGCTTTCGGTGAATAATTTTTTAGGAGGTCTAACTGTTAATGAATTTGTAGAGGAATTGAGTAAAGACCAGACGTTGAAGGGAGCTGAAGAGTCCTCGTTGAGTTCTCATTCTGAGGATATCTGGAAGAAATTGGATCCCAAGCCTTATATCAGAACTTTTGAGTCTACTTTAAAAGAGCTAAATTCTCTAAAAAACGATTCTTTAGGGAAAGAAAGTGTTTTGTATAGTGAAGTCAATATACAAGAATTGAATCATTCTAAAAATACTATACATTTATTTAATAAACTAAAATCTACCATTAGTAAATACGATGATTTGGATAATAAATTATCAAATGTTATACAAGTATTATCTCCCCTTGGTGAGAAAGTAGAGAATAGTATTAAACAAAAGAAAAATTATATCAAATCTATTGAGTTGATTGCACAATATAATGAATTCGACACTAAAGGCAAATCTGATCATTTGAACGAATTGTTGAATTCTAGAAATTGGCAATTACATTTGCAAGCTGTAATAATTGTTAAGAATTTGTTAATTTTATCTCGTAAAGTGGAAACTAGTTCAATTCCAAAAACTAGTGAAACAACTAAATTAATCGAAAAATATTCAGAATCAATGGAGAATAATTTATTAGAAGATTTCAATAATGCATATCGTGAAAATAATTTTGAACAATTAAATGAAATTGCTTTGGTTTTAGAACATTTCAATGGTGGTGTCAATGTTATTCAAAGTTTTATAAATCAACACTCTTTCTTCATCGATACAAGTCAAATTGAAGACGATGATTCTAATCAAGTCAATTTGGAGGAATCTTTTAAAAGAAGATTACTAGATCCTGATTTTCATGGTGTCAATTTCGAGAAAAGTCTAGTATCTCTATTAGAAAATATTGAAACAGTTATTAAAAATGAATCTAAGATTGTTAAAAGGGTCTTCGATGAAAGTGCGCCACATGTGATTCAGTTATTCATTCAAAGAATCTTTGTTCAGAAAATTGATTCTAAAATTGATTTGTTACTTAATACTTCATTCTCTTTATCAGATCTGGCATTTGTCAGAATGTTACATGCCTTATATACACTTGTGGGACAATTTGTTAAAGATCTGGTGGAATTCTTTAAGCTATTGGAAATAGATCAAAATAATGTTATTTCTGCCACAATAGAACAATGTTACTCGGATCTATTTTCAAAATATTTGTATGATAGATCGAAATATTTTGATATTGAAAGAAGAAGTTTGGAATCGATATTAATTGAAAAAACATCAACTTTTAACATATCTCATGAAAAGGAAACTCGCGACAGATCATTAAACAATAAGTTTAATAACAAACTGGAAACCGGCGTAGTTGATAACAATGAATTTGGAAGCATTTCTAAAAGTAAACTATCACAAATTAATAATTTCTTCAAGACTCATTTGGATAAAGAACGTTTACCTTTAACTCTTGCGAATGCCACCCGTGAAGTCCACAATATGGGCGCTACAGAAGGTGAACTAACTCAACAAGAGGTTATAGTAGATGAGAAGGAATTCAATATTGCTAGTGCAGATTTGATGTTAAAATGTGCAGTAGAATCTGTTGCTAGGGTAATGGAATTAACACCAAGCAACTCCAGTTCCTATAGTTATGAGTTATTAGAATTGCTACATGCTGGTATCATAAGTTCATACGTGGAAACATCCCTTGAAATTTCCTATTACAACATTTTAAAAGTTGATGTTTCTAAAGTTTTGGATATAAATGTTTCATTCTTGAAATATTTGACTATTAGTACTGACATATTAAGCTTGCTGTCAGCAACCATTAAAGCAGTTTTTCTACCGTTATTAACAAATTCTCCAGATATAAAGAAGAAAATAATTGAAGTTACAAATAATCAAATTACAAGATGTGAACTTTTAATAAATACTGTTGTTGACGAATTGACACATTTGTATTCTTCTAAATTCTCAGAATGTTTATCTAAACAAAAAAAGAAAGATTTTGTACCTAAATCACAAGATCTATTGGATCAAGATACATTACCAGCAATTGAAATTGCAAATATATTAGCATCACTTCATTCGCAAGTTTCAATTTATTTCAGATCAAACAATTTAACGAATTTTTTAACAACAATTGGTGATATATTATACAACAAACTGCTAACACATTACGGTAAATTCCAAGTCAGCTCCACTGGTGGTATTATAGTAACAAAAGACATCATTGGATATCAAAACGTAGTTGAAGAATGGGAGATTCCTGAATTACTTGAGAAATTTGCTACTCTACGTGAATTAGCTAATCTATTTACAGTCCAACCTGAACTGTTAGATTCATTAACAAAAGAAGGTCATCTAATAGATGTTCACAGAAATGTAATATCATCATATATTTCAAACAGAGAAGATTTCAACCATGAAAAATTCATCTCTGGTGTTAAATTGAATTTTAAGCATTATGCATGAATTTTGGACTCAATTGAAAACTAATTAAAAGGGATATTTAATTTTGGTGTTGTGTTTTTTTATTTGTATATATTGTAATAGTTATTATATACTAAATATATTGTCAATTCTAATGATTTCCAAGGTGGCCCTTCCATTCTTTTTCATTCCTGTTGTTCTTTGACGTCTCACAGATCAAAGTTTGATATCAAAACCTTTTTTTTTATATCAGGCAATAATGAAAAATTAACATGGTTAAAAAATCGATGAGGTATGTTCAATAAGAAGTTACTTAAAGAAAAGGAGGTTGATTTAGCTCAAGTTGTCTGGTTGATGTAGTTGATGGGTAGTGTTTGTTGATAACTATATTGTTGGTAATTTATATTTATTAGATGGTTAAGAAAGTTGCTAAAGATGAGGGTGAAAAAAGGAGTCTGCGGTCAAAGAATGATGTTAAGGAAACTAAATTCGATTTTGATAGAGAAAAGTATATGATAGATGTTTTAAAGCCATTGAAGGTGGTAGCAAGGAAATTTAGGAATGATATAGAATTGATGGATCAAACACAGTCAAGGACCTCCGTTAAGGATGAGGTGCATGAAAAGTTTAATCAAATTTCATCGATGACTTTAGATATTGAAAGTAATGAATTAACGAGGCCTGAAGTAGTTAAGAAAAGGAAAATAGAGGGAGTAGTGCCAACATCAGATGGATGGGACAAATTGGGAGGTAATTCTCCTGGTTCATCAAGGGATTTGAAATCACATTATCTGAATAACTCCGATCCCCTATCAGATGCATTATACAAGCCATATCACAAGAAGATGTTAAAACAAGAGAATAGAATGTTGGAAAGAGACGTAAATGAATGGGAGACAGAAGCAGATAGATTAGAATTACTTAGCGATAAGCTGAATATGTTGGATTGGCATATTTCTTTACCTAAGATGACAGTAATTAATGATGTGTGTGATGAGGATGAAATGGATAGAAAAAGAGAATTGACTAAAGAATATATAAGGAACACATTAGCTAAATATGAAGAAATGAAATTCCAAAAGAGTTTATTATCCAAAACATGTAAACGATCTCGTAAGCTAGATCCTAGCAAAGACAGGTCTAGGGTATACAAGAAGGTGGATAGGAAAACAGTTGAAGGGTATCACAGTTCTAGTGATGAAGAGGAAGATGGTATGAGTGTGAGTGAGATTCGAAAACATAGACTGGATAAGAGGATAAAATCATGTGGTGGTGTAGTTAAAATTGGGTTAACGGCGGGAGCTAAAAATAAATTAACGATACATGGTGCATTAGTGAAACTTACTAGAAATTTTGCAATTATAGCTGAACCATTAAGAAATCCATATATCATTAAGCTTTCACTTGATGAAAAACGAGAATGGAATAAAGATAGTGAAGAATATGAGAGGAAATTAACATATTACGCTCCATTTCCTAAGCAAGTTGGTGAAAAGAAAGGGCTAGTTGTTATTGAAAATAGTACATCTGATTCTGAATCTGATCAAGAACTAGAAAAGCAACCACTGGTGATTAAAGAGGGAAAACGGACAAGTTCTATCATTAGTGCCAATTCTAGTTCTAACACTAGTTCTGGATCTAATATTGACTCTACAAATTATAAAACTTCATTTAAAGAACTACAAAATTGTGCTACAACTAACCTTGAAGATACTCAAATAACCAATAATTCATATTCAGAAATCCTACCTTCGAATGATAAGAATCGAATCAAAATCGAAAACAGAAATAAAGGCAAAGTAAATATCTTAACTATCAAACGTAAGTAATTAATGAACATTATTTATATATCAAAGAGAGATTGATTGGAAAGAAGAAGCCCTTTAAATTTAAAGGTGTGTTTAAACAAGATAAAAAGCATGAAAAATAAGAGATACAAGTCAATGAATGATCATATGGACTACCAACCTGTTCAAGAGTGTTTAACTTGAAGATCAGTGACGTGGTAATTAAGGATGATGTCCATTGATGAGTTGATATTAATATTGGAAGACAAGCATGTATATAGCTATAAAGAATTATGGTTAAATAATGAAGAATCAAGATATGAAGAAATACTAGAGATATTTTCATTTGGTAGATTAAAGGATTTAAATGAATATATTGATAAATATGGCGATGGAATGGATAAGATCGTGATCAGTGAATTGATGATGATCAAAATGATTAAATTGAGCATTCTTAGTTATATAAATAGTAGTAATGCAAGATATAAAATATCGATAATTGATATTTGTCACGAGTTAAATATAAAATTTAAGGAAATGAATAGCAGTGCATTTATAGAGCGTCTTTTAATTGAAATGAACGATATTATCAAGATACGAATTGATTCAATTGAAAATAGTATAGACATCTTGCAAGTAACTGATACTCGTGATGTTTATAGTTTTGAGAAGCCGTTGAATATCATTAAAATTGAAGATATTGAAACAACTCAAAGCTTATATAGCGAACTGGAGAGATGGAAGAATAAGCTAATCAATGATATACATTGAATCAAGGTAAAGAATATATTAGAACGTCGACTTATATGATGAATAAATAAATAAATAAATAAATAAGGAAATAAATAAGGAAGTAAAAGCAGAAATTAATAACTATTAAATAATTATTAATAGAACGTAACGATGATGATGATGATGATAATGATGGTAGTAGATAAATAGTTATAGATTTAGTATTAATAATAAATAATAAATATAATTGAAGCTTTACTGAGATGAGTATTGTGTGTCATAACATTTTTTGCTGGTTATTGACGATGCAATAGCACACGATGTCTAATTTCGAATTTAATTTCAATTGTCAGTTTCGAGATAATAGGAGTGATGATGTATTATAACGTCAGGGAAATTACTTTTTTGATTCAATTGACTCATTCTTTGTATCTTTACCGAAAACCTTTGTTAACAAGCCAGTGAAACCTTGGTTTTCTTCACTTTGTAGATTGTAGATACCGATTAAAGATAGTAAGGAACCACCATATAATAAGTACATGGCATAGTTTTGAATCTTACCATAGACTCTCTTTTGGACATAATCGGTGATACAAGATTGGAATTCCAAAAAGAAGTGAGACATCGCAGTTACACATAATACTGCATCGATTGTGGAATGTAGAGGCATTGAGCTTAAACCTAGAGTTGGGATGGTGACCAGAGGGATGATGGAGACGGCTACGATTCTTTCGAAATCCCAATGGTATGAACCATGCATTTTATCTGCTTTTGGTGGCACATAGGCTTCGTTAACGTCGCCTCTAACACCACCTGGAGCTTGTGGTAAAGCTGGTAAGAATGGTATTCTAAAATTTAATCTTCTAGAGACATGTAATGATCTCTTTGTGCAGTTTGTGATGACAGGTTTGTAGAACATTGTATTTGATTGTGTTTATCCTTTTAAATCTAGTCAGGTGAACAAAATTTGGGAAGGTCTTCTTTTGAATACGCAACAGGGAATTGGAAGGGGGGAAAGTATATCACTGGTCAGTATCAAAGAACTGTTAACGTTTATATATATCTAATGAACCAAATAAACAGCTTTAAGTTCAATCTAACGCAAATGAGACAAATACGGTCTTTAGTGATGGAGGAATGATTAAACCGAATCGCATATAACTTTATAACAAATTATTTATATATATATATATATGAGAATGTGGTAGTCTCTTTCCCATATCTATATGCGTGAGTGAGTGTAAGTTCAAACGTTGAGAAAAAACGAACAGCATAATAATGATTGAATCGGATAGGCTCAAAAGTAGGGAAAAGCTAATTCTAGGCAGGTAAAGGTATCATTAGGAGAAAAAGGTTTAATAAAAATGAAAAGGTTTGTACGACAGTTAGACTTATCCGTCGTACTTCACCAATCAGAGTCACCGTTACGGACAAACCAAAAGTAGACAGTCATTTTTAATGGGCCAACCAGACCAGACCAGACCAGACCAGAGACCGAAGTCTAAGGCGACTTAGAATAGGGAATGAGAGAATACAATACAATACAGGAAAAAAAAAAACCATAAAAAAGTATTGTAAAAGTGATTTAATGATGGTTAGTACAATTTAATTGAGTTCAAAATTTGCTTTAACTTGCTAAATTTGCTGTGAGGAACGGTTTTGTATTGATTTATTCAATGGGACCAACGGAGGAAAGCAGCGAAGAGATGAGATGAGATGAGATGGGTACAGAGAGAGAGAGAAAAAAAAGAAACAGTAAATAGCAACGAATGGTTGTGTATATTTTTGCACTTGGAGTGTCTCTGTATCTCACTCACTCACTCACTCACTCACTCAGTACAAAGACAATGACTCGAAAGAAGCCATTACTTTTACTGCATTATCTTTTGCTTTGGTTAAGCTAACAGTTACTCGCCCATTCAGCTAATCCACGAAACATATATCTGAGTATGAAGTTAGTTGTATATACATAGCTGGTGGTAGTAAAATCAGTGCATTCATTAATCATGATATTTCAAATATATGTTTAACTTTTGCAGGGAAGAGCCATCAGGGTTGGAGCAGTGCGTTACAGAGGGATCTCTGTTGTTTCGAACAACAGGACAACAACACAACACAACACAGTGAATTGGTAGATATGTAGGTATATATATATATATATATATATCTGCTATACACACATTAGTATTAACATAAATATAGATACATAAATTACATAGACATATATAGATATATAGACAGAGTTGGTAATTGCATCGGCGGTTGGTTTGTTCAATAGCACCAGTAAGATGGATATGAAATAAGTTCTGAAGCAGAAATAATTAAAAAGTGATGGGAAAGAGAAACAAGGGAAATTGGGGAAAGCTTGCAATTCGTGTTCCTTTTATATGTTGGGCTTGAGATGTGGTTTGCCACCCTTAATTGTGTTCATTATCTGTTGTTGGTGGCGGCTTCTCCAGTGTGGGGTGTAGGGGGAAACGGCTATAGAAAAAACACCATATAATTAAACCACACAGCGAATGGGATAAAAGTATTGCCGCCGATCCTCGTCTCTCTTTGTGTCTCTCTCCGCACCACGTGCATTATATCCAAGTTGGACACAAAAAGAGTATGAAACGGTCATCATCACTGTGTGAGAGATTTATGTGGGTGTGTGTGGGTGGAATATCTTTGTGTATTGTCTTGTCTTGGCTGAGATGGGGAGAAACAACAAAGAATTAAACTAAATAACATTCGTGTCACGTGCTTTCCACGTGACACTGCTGTCCCATTTCCTGGAATTTCAATTTTCTCTTTTCTTGCGTTTTTCCGCACTTCGGTT